AAATTGTTTGTAATCTAATCATTTTGATATGACTTTACCTTTGGAATTTATATATAGGGGGAGTCAGGTTGGCGTAGCGGTACTTTCCTCGCCTTCCACTGCTGTGACCCAGGTTCGAATCCCGCCTGGGCCAATATGTGGATTGGGTTTTCCGTCCCTACCTGATTCTGTGGGTTTTCCCCAGAATGTTCTTCTGGGGTTTTCCTCCCACCTCTAAACTGTAACTTCTTCTCATTGTCTTCTCTCTACAGGTTTCTTCAGGCTTTCGAGCTACAGTGCCTAGAGCGCTTTTGAAGAATCCTTGGTTTCATAACCAGAAAGAAATAAAATAAATAAATAAATAAATAAATATAATCATTCTCACATTAAATGACTGCAGCAAAATTTAAATGTAATTGGTCAGACAAAAATAAACTCAAATAACATTTGGCCAAAAAAAAAAATCTTCCCAGTTTAAAAGGTCCACAATAACCTTTTGTTTATCGCAGCAACTATAATTGCATGTTTGATGACAAAGAAACCAACAAAATCTTTTCTGATCTTTTTCATTATCCAATTGACTATGGATTCTTAAAATACATACACCTATTAATGTAAAGAGGTTATCATCATCTTACCCTGTGTATAGCTCCAAACTCTGATTTGTCCCAGACACTGACTTGACTCGAGATCCACCATCCACCATGGGTTCATTTCGAAAACTTGAAATTAAACGTAAACAATTTACTTAACCGTTCAGTCGCAAACATGTTGAACATTTTTAGGACCCCCCCCCCCCCCCCACCTTTGGACACCACCTGTTAGGCGAGAAATTTCCCAGCTATCAATTTATTCCATTGGTTTTAACTGAAGACATGTATATGTGGAAATATGATTTTGTAGGAAATCCACCAATCTCAGTTTCAAATTCTCTGTCTGTAGCACTTTCATGATACACTGACAACTTGACTTTCTCAAGCTTTATGCAAATCAAATTTTCAAACTAAAATGTATTCGCAATTTAATAATATTTTTATTTAGGTACTTCGTCTCTTTAATAATGAATATATGACGGGTGTATTTGCAGGAAAAATGTCCCTCGAGAATGAACTGAAGTGTGCATTGTGTAATTGGACTAAGATGACTTACTGGTGAGGCTGCAATAAGGTTCTTTTGGAAGACTATCCAATGCTCTATCAGCAACGAAACTACCGTCTGTGGAGCTTTGACTACTGGGTTTATCGGTTAAGTTTAGGGCTGCATGAAAAAATTACAAGGGAGGAAAAAAAAAGAAAGTTGGATGTACATGTAACACACTACGATGCAACCACTTATTCTTAGGATAGAAAACACAGATCCAACTTACTTTGAAAGTATAATCAGAGGTGTTTTTTTTTACGTAACATGAAATTAATATGTCGGTCTAGTTCTCGAGCAACACCCAATAATAAAATTTACCTCTGCCCGAAGCAAAATGCCATCTTACAAGATACTGAAAGGTTTTTTTTAAGTTCTCAGACAGCAATAAAATTACATCGGTGATGCAAATTTCCATCTTATATTTTTCCTGTTATATTTGTCCTGTGAATCAGATCACGCTGACACCAACATTTTTCTTCATTCAACATTTTGACAAAATGACAAATAAACATTTATTTGGAAAACTGTAATTTAACCATTTGCATTACGCCAAACTGTACCTGCTGGATGGAGTTCACACGGCCATACCATTACTTCAGCCAGTGAAAGCCAGGTTTCTCTAGGAATATTGACGCTAACATACCGAGCAGGTCTGTAGGAATCACAGGTGAATTCAATCCAATCATTGATTAAGGCTTGATACAGGGTTACTGGTGAACCACACGTCGGGTTATCAAGATGTGCCTCTCTCAGGCCAGCACGCACAACAGCACCTTGCAAACGTAATCTATAGTCGTCTGGAATCAAGGAGCGAAATTGATGAGAGATATGAAAGTTTGCATTTAGCTGGATCACTGCTGAGGTTTTTCTTCACTGTACAGTTTGAGAAACTTATTTCAGGCCTACTGAGTGCAGTGATGTTTTCGTCAGTTTTCATTTGAGCCTTAATGTTGGCTAAAACAAACACTTTGTCTGAAAATAAGCTCAGGCAAAGCGGAACTGATTTGATTGTCTCTCAAACCACTCCTATACCGTTGCAATTTATTATAAACTGATGAGAAGCTTACGTTCAAGATGATCTGGATTCCTGATGGCGATTTTCCCAATGCAGTGATCAGAAGTCAGGTCTATCTTCCACCAGGGATTCAGGTCTTGATCTGAAAGAAAAGTCAAATAACAGATCAGTACAAAGTATATAATGGCAAAAACAATATCTTTTTTTACGAAAAGTTGTTTTTAGGTTAATGCAAAGTTATGGAAATAGAGGTGACGCTATGAACGTTAATCAGCTTAACCCTAACGTCACCCAAGGCTACACAATACTACTGAGTAGTAACCTGAAGTGTGCCCAAAACATTAAAAAAAACTCTCTGTTCAGAAAGTGCACTATATCAATGAAATCTCATAAATATGATTGAGTTTTTCAATGATAGAGGGCATCAAAGAAATCTCTTCTTCAGACTAGCTCAATAGTTTTTGGATGGTAAAATTGCTTGAATCAGCCTGGTACATTTTCTGCTTGAATTAGGCAATATCGAATGGAGGTCGGTGATCAGACTTACCTGTGTGACTACAGTGGGCGGCATCATAGCTGTACAGTGAAGACCCATCCACAGCTCCTGAAGCATACCAAGTACCGGAACTATTAGAATAATTGGAACTCTGACTGCTTGGGAGACCAGACAAATGCAGGGCTGCAAGAATAATAGAAAAGAACGACAGTGAAATCATTCATGCTGTGCAATAAACCTCTTTTAATGAAATGGGTCGTACAATTATGTAATGTTGGGCACAATATTTAGCAATAATACAAAAATCAATCAAACTGATATTGCCAGATGATAAGAAAGATAGTTAAAGGTTGTGTTTTGATTATCGACAAAGTACTTTAATAATGCCATTTGTTTGTCCTGTGTGATGGGATAATATAACATTTATTTTGTGGCTTTAACATCATGAGGTTCCTCTCAAATTCCTCCAGAATGATGATTCTTTGCACACAAATAAACTGTCATCAATATGCCGTTCTGAGCACATATCACTGCACTCTCACAAATGCCCCCTTCAATGGCGAAAGCATTGTGCTATAGCTATTGTTCACGCAATCCACCATGGGACAGATTGCTTGCACAATGGCTTCTCCATAGAAGGGGGCCTCTGTGTTTGGATAGGAATGTAGGTTCAATGACCATTTATTCATAACTGATCATCCACGACCTCCTGCTTTCTAGTGCAGATGTCTTACCACTCGACCACCTTACCACACTTACCATTCGACCACAGTGTTCAAGCGTCGGTGAAGGGCAAAAACCTAACTTGATTTATATCACCCCGACGCAAAAATTCAATCTTATAATAGTTAATGCGGCACCCGCTGCTATGTACATCAGATTACAAACAGCCAACCGATCCCGCTAACTCGGTGGTCGAGTGGTAAGACATATGCACTAGAAAGCAGGAGGTCGTGGGTTCGAGTCCCACCCGAGTGATTTTTCCAACTTTCACTCGGGAGGTAACACACTGAGTACACAGTGTTCAAACGTCGGTGAAGGGCAAAAACCTAATTTGAATTATTATTCTTTACCCACCTGTTGGTGCATCAATCTGGATCGTATCCATGGTAACCTCCTCAATCATGACTTCAACTAATTGAACTACGATTTCATAACTGCTACCACGGATATCCAAGCTGACGTATCGTGCAGTGACGTAGGGGTTTAGTAGGAAATCTACAACCGCTCCATCTACAGCTTGATCCATTCGAACCCGTCCTACCTCTGGGTTATGTAGGTGATTGGAGCTCAAACCAGCACGAACTACATTATCCTCCAATCGGTAACCTGCAACAATAGCAACAAACCAAAATCATTCAAATAGTAAGGAATTTGATTGTACATTTTAAAGCAGCTGCAATGATAGCTAGGCGAATACATTTGTGACAATTTTAACAGCTTTCCACTGCCAATTTCGCAGTGTCCATCCACTTCTGAAAATTAGTCGTTTTCGTCTGAAGTAGAATGAACGTCTTCGATCCCTTTCCAATTCAACGAAAAATCAATCTTTTTTTATATTGTTTGTGCAATGTGCATTTGATTTTGAGAAACAGGCATCCAATTACCTTATCTGTACAGCATACCATTTTTTCAGCTGAGCTCGGGTATACGATTTTGCGCATTGCGCATATGCAAACAAAAGTAAGTTTATTCGATGGTATTTACATAAAATTATTTAATGAGAAAGATTCCTCAACTCGGTTGTTTGAATACATTACACTCAACTATCAAATTTAAAAGAGTGAAAATTCACTCCATTCGAGTGAAGATTCACTCTCACAGTCGTAAACTAAGGACTAGACGTTTTAGAGTGAAATTTCTTCTTGTAAAGGTCGAGTTTTCACTCGAGCTTCGTCTGAAGTGGTTCTTTTTCAGACTTTTTCAATCAAACATGAGAGTGAATGTCACTCTAAAACGTCTTTTCTCTAATTTTACTCTTTGGAATTTAGAGAGAAGGTTAAACATATCATGGTTAATATTCAAATTTCGCCCTATAAAGAAAGGGTATTTATTAATCCGATTGGACATAAACGAGATGCGCTTGTACCGAAAATGAAAGTATTCAGAACGATTCCCGAAATCTTGGCGGAATGGAATAAACTCTGTATCCAAATGCATTAAAACTTTGCGAAATCGGCCGAGAAAGACTATAGTTTAAGGTGGAATTAACTCCTTAACAGGGAATTGGGATTTTTGTAGGCGAGTTTGAAGATAGGAATTCAATGCTAGAAGAGAATGCCTATCTATTAACTTATAAAATATTGCCTTTACTTTGGTTTGTTTGTTTGTTTGTTTGTTTGTTTGTTTGTTTGTTTGTTTGTTTGTTTGTTGGGGTGTTTGTTTGTTTGTTTGTTTGTTTGTTTGTTTGTTTGTTTGTTTGTTTGTGTTTTATATTTTCAACAACTGGATGCAGAGTATGGATGCTCTGTCATCTGATCAAATGTTTTCATGAGGCTCCTACTATGGATAGGCCAGGAAAAATTAATGTGCGATACTACTGGTACATGACCACTCATCCAGGAAAAACAATTATGAAGAGTATACTAGCCCAGTCTGTTTCTGTTAACCAGAGTGATTTTTCTCAAGCAGTAGACAGCTCCCAGGTCCACTTTCCACCATGGGTTCGTACGTTGCTCTGGGGTGGCATACCCTGCGTGAATGAAAAAGAAATAGGCCTGGTGTGATAATTAGTAGTTCTTTTATGATTGTGTTCAGCAGTGTAGTTGTGTGATTGAAGAAATGGAATTATTTTGATATAAGATGAGTTACTTTTATTTCTGTGTATAGGCCTAGGCCTATTCAATTTACCAACATAATGATTTTCTTCAAGCAGTAAATTGTCCATCATGGATCCGCAAATTCTTTCTCTATTCTGTATAAGTGCAAATGAATGGAATTTATTGCCCTGGTTACCCAGTAGTTCTCCATGAACGTAACACGCTGCAATGTTTAGTTAAGCATGCACTCTCATGGTCACCGATCGACAGATGAATTAATTTTACGCAAAAACATGTTTATTGAATAGTCTTTATAAAAAAATAAGTTCTTTTGTGGGAACCTTCAGAAAACCTCAGTTTGACTGAGTTAAGGTTCTCTTTGGAAACTAATTCCTATTGGACACCATGAAAGTCCGTTTGAAATTAGGCTGATGACGTTTCAAAATGGAATAAAATTTGAACTTAATCTTACTTGGACATTGGAATTTTTTAACCAAATCGTTATACTTTTAATGAGTTATTGAAAGCGCAACATTTTAAAAGATACTGTGAGTCCCATGTATTTTCTCTTTCTTTGAGGTTACTGCTGTAAATCTGCTGATAAGATAGGATGGTTCCTTTCGAGAGACGATTACACTATACCCGTGTGAGCCAAGGTTCCAGTGTCTCGATCCACAGCATTCGAGGCTTCGGCATCTTGTGCCGTAGAACTCTGACTCGTTGTAATTCCGGGGCCACGCAGATCAAGAGAAAGTCCTGCAGTGTTAATATTAATAATCACAAAATTTAAAAAGTGGGCCAATATACATATATAACCAAAACAGGTGGTAAACTTCATACCTGACTTTCCAAGGAAAAGAAAAGACATAATGGTTTCTTATACTATTAGTCTTAGTTGTACGTGGTCTTCACTATAGTCATCGTTCCTTGCAGCCAAAGCCTAATAGTCCAGCGGATATGTGAAAAAATTGTGCACTTTTGCATAAAAGCGTGAAACTTGGCACAGATGTTTATATTCATGCGAGAAAATGTTTTAGATGTGGAGCCATCACAAGTTTACCCTTTTAGGGGCGTGGCATCCATTTAAAAAAAGGGGGGCGGAACTTGTCGTGCCCGCAGTGAAAATGGTTTTTCTCACTTGTAACAAAAGCAGGAAACTTTACAAAGACATAATTATATAGATTACTAGTGTTTTCCGGATTCGGAGCCACCACAAAAGTACCTTTTTGGGTGCGTGGCAGCCATTAAAAGACAGGGGGGGGGGGGGTAATTATTATGCCCACTTTGGAAAACATTGTGCCCATATTTCATGAACGAATAAAACGTCCCACAGACGTTTATATTCATGAGAAAAAAAATTTCAGATGTGGAGCCATCGCGAACACACCCTTTTAGGGGCGTGGCAGCCATATTGAAAAAAAGGGGGCGGGGTTCTCATTTTGCCCAACATGGGAAAAATGTGCACACATCTCATAAACGAATGAAGCTAATTCCCACAGACATTATTACTCACGAGAAAAAAAATCACAAGTGGAGCCATCGTAAACACACCCTTTTAGGGGCGTGGCAGCCATAATAAAATCGGGGGGGGGGGTAGTCATGATGCCCTTATAAAAGAAAGTTGTGCCTACCTTTCATTAATATATTCATAAAAATGTGAAAACAATTTTTTTAATGTGAAGCCATCACAAACCTACCCTTTTAGAGGCGCGGCATCCATTTTTAAAATGGGGGGGGTACTCAATATGCACAACGTGGAAAATTTTGACCGCGTTTCATATAATAAAATCCACCTCAGATAGCTGTTTAATGTGTTGGAGTAGGGCCGCCTTTATAGTTGGAAGTTACTGTTGGCAAACCCTTTGTTTTCTTACACTATACATCCTTGCCTCATCTATATTAACCCAGTTACTGGTTCTGTCGTCTGTAGAATTATTGTTAACCTTTCAATTGCAGCAATATCTGAATTGGGGTATAAATTGGGGTACCTCAGTTAGTCCTGGAAAGACTAGTGTTACTTCTTCAAATACATTGTTTCCCCTGCCTTTTTTTCTGACAGACCAAAAGGCATATGCAGTGTCGCACCTGTATAAAGTATTCATAAATACCTCAGACAGTTTAGCCATTCCTATTGGTCGAGAGCCCGTCACGTGGCCGGTATTAAACGGATGATAAAGACATGGCTAGCTGGTCTTAAACACTTTTCCAGTGTCACAATAAAATGTGGACTTCTAAAAATCCAGTGCCTTTTATCGTTTCATTGGTTGAACGTTCACAATCCTCACGTAGGCATGCGCAACACTACCATGGAGTTAGAATTTTATAGTTCTAAATTCAAAACGCAACGCGCCAGGTGCGTTCTGCGCGACATCGCGTCGAACATGATACGCGCGCGTCAATCTCCATAAAAGGGTTGTTTTCATCTTACTCGCCAGCTGAACACTCCATTATTTTGCAGGAGGGATGTTTCAAAAAGCATAAAGTGAATTTGTTGAACAAAATCGGGATGTTTTGAACGAATTATATGATTTTTTTTACCGAAAAGGTATTTATGAATGGGAATAAATATGTACTCCGTCGGTATTTATCACTCTGTTTAATACAACTTAGAGTCTGGGTGCTGAACATTACCCTCGCCTCCGGCTCGGGTAATTATCAGCACCCAGACTCTAAGTGGTATTAAACAGAGTGATAAAAACCTCCGGAGCACACATTTATTCCCTTATTAAAAAAAAAAATTAATGGATTTGGTCGGGGAAAAAAAAAAACACTCATCAGAGCTTGATATACAATTTTTAAGAGAACAAAGGTGTTGTGTGGTGGAAGTACACAGATTCATTGAATGTGAAGTCATAGTGGACGTGACCACCACTTTGTGAGGCGAGTACATCGTGTTGTTACCCAATCTGCCGTCAATGCGGCGCAACGGGTAGGGGGTAGGGGAATTTTACACTCCCCCCCCCCCTAAAAAAAGGATTTCCATGGCCCTTAAATGTTAAATGTTAGAGTTTAGGGCTGCCATTGTGTGCTGTGTATTTGTAATTATGAAATCACTCTGGAATTTAGATGTGCATGATAATATAGGTGCAAGTACACACATTGAACCCTATAACACGGGTTAGCCTACCGGTACTTACCCATGCTCTTTGGTGTAAGTCATTGTATTACCAAATAATATAGGTTATGGGCCAATCAACATTATAAGAAATCAACAACAAAATATAAAAATTGCAATTGTGGGCACAGTGAGTAGGCCCCTCACACCTCTAAAAGGATGAGTTTGCTGTGGCTCTACATATGAATTTATTATCTTGCACCAAGTTTGTGTGAAGTTTAGTCATTTATGAAAGTTCGATGGTGGTAGCACCCCCCCCCCCCATTTGTTTTTAAATAGATGCCATGCATCTAAAAGGATAAGTTTGTGATGGCTTCAAATTAAAAAAAAAGGACAGATTTTCATGAATATATTGTCCGTGTGGAGTTTAATCCATTAATGAAAGGTAGGCATGACTTTCTTTTATAGGGGCATCATGACTACCCCCCCCCCCCATTTTACTATGGCTGCCACGCCCCTAAAAGGGTATTCATGTATCCCCTATTCTTCGCACCCTTCACTGGCTACCTGTCAATGAGCGAATCGCCTTCAAGATTCTACTCCTAACTCACAAATGCATCCACGGCTCAGCACCAGCATACCTCCGTGAACTTATTCAAGTATACCAGCCACAACGCACCCTCCGTTCTAGCTCAACATTGCTGCTCAGTACACCGGTCACTCGCACTAAGACTTATGGACATCGTTCCTTCATGCATCACCATCGCTTTGGAACTCTCTCCCACACCATATAAGATTTGTCAATGCCGAAAATGAATTTAAAACACTCCTTAAAACTTACCTGTTCCATTAATTGCTTTTAATTGTTGTTTCCTGTGAAGCGCATCGAGACCTTGGTGTGATGCGCTATATAAAAACTGTGTTATTATTATTATTATTATAAGGGTGTGTTTACGATGGCTTCACGTGTGACTTTTTTTCTCGTGAATATTAATGTCTGTGGGAATTAGCTTCATTCGTTTATGAGATGTGGGCACATTTTTTCCATGTTGGGCATAATGAGAACCCCGCCCCCCTTTTTTTCAATATGGCTGCCACGCCTCTAAAAAGGTGTGTTCGCGATGGCTCCACATCTGGAATTGTTTTTCTCATGAATGTCAATGTCTGTGGAAAGTTCCATTTCTCTATGAATGTGGGAACAATATTTCCAGGGTGGGCATAATGAAAACCCCGCCCCCCTTTTTTTTCTTATATGGTTGCCACGCCCCTAAAAGGATGTGTTCGAGAAGGCTTCACATCTGGAATTTTTTTTCTCATGAATGTCAATGTTTGTGGAAAGTTCCATTTCTCTATGAGTGTGGGAACAATATTTCCAGGGTGGGCATAATGAAAACCCCGCCCCCTTTTTTTCTTATATGGTTGCCACGCCCCTAAAAGGGTGTGTTCGCGATGGCTCCACATCTGGAATTGTTTTTCTCATGAATGTCAATGTCTGTGGAAAGTTCCATTTCTCTATGAATGTGGGAACAATATTTCCAGGGTGGGCATAATGAAAACCCCGCCCCCCTTTTTTTTCTTATATGGTTGCCACGCCCCTAAAAGGGTGTGTTCGAGATGGCTCCACATCTGGAATTTTTGTTCTCACGAATATAAACGTCTGTGGGACGTTTTATTCGTTCATGAATTATGGGCACAATGTTTTCCAAAGTGGGCATAATAAGTACCCCCCCCTTTTCTTTTAATGGCTGCCACGCCCCAAAAAAGGTACTTTTGTGGTGGCTCCGAATCTGGAAAACACTAATAATCTATATAATTATGTGTTTGTGAAGTTTCCTGCTTTTGTAACAAGTGGGAAAACCATTTTCACTGCGGGCACGACAAGTCCCGCCCCCCTTTTTTTAAATGGATGCCACGCCCCTAAAAGGGTGTGTTCGCGATGGCTCCACATCTGGAATTGTTTTTCTCATGAATGTCAATGTCTGTGGAAAGTTCCATTTCTCTATGAATGTGGGAACAATATTTCTAGGGTGGGCATAATGAAAACCCCGCCCCCCTTTTTTTTTCTTATATGGTTGCCACGCCCCTAAAAGGGTGTGTTCGAGATGGCTCCACATCTGGAATTTTTGTTCTCACGAATATAAACGTCTGTGGGACGTTTTATTCGTTCATGAATTATGGGCACAATGTTTTCCAAAGTGGGCATAATAAGTACCCCCCTCCCCTTTTCTTTTAATGGCTGCCACGCCCACAAAAAGGTACTTTTGTGGTGGCTCCGAATCTGGAAAACACTAGTAATCTATATAATTATGTCTTTGTGAAGTTTCCTGCTTTTGTAACAAGTGGGAAAAACCATTTTCACTGCGGGCACGACAAGTCCCGCCCCCCTTTTTTAAATGGATGCCACGCCCCTAAAAGGGTAAATTTGCGATGGCTCCACATCTAAAACTTTTTCTCGCATGAATATAAACATCTGTGCCAAGTTTCACGCTTTTATGCAAAAGTGCAGAATTCATCGATATTTTGTCACATATATCCGCTGGACTATAAGGCCTTTACGAGGGTATAGTATTCCCAGTAACATAATTATGCCTATAACAAAATGCATATAACAATGGAGCTTTAATGTTTAATCTTTACAGTGCACGTAATTCATGAAGGTCAACATGTACTTAGGTTTATATGTAGGCCTACATGGATTGAGCACGAAACCGCCAACTTCCTGGTAGGCCCTATGCCTACTTGTCTCAACTCAACTGACTAATTTACCCCACCTTCCTTGAGGCTGAAGGCAACGAAGACGACCAGGAATGTGCCAAGATGATCCCTGAACATCATGGTAACATCTCCCAGTGACAGATGAAGATAATCCCAATCAAAATGGAAAGAACCACGCTGTGCTTCACAGTCATACGTTCGATATTGCCCCAAATGACTTGTAATCCGCCTTGCATTAACACAACACTCATCGGCCAGGTTCTAGTGCTGAATATCCCATTCATGCTTCAATGAACGAACTATTAAGACCGACTCTGGGATTTTCCAAATCGAAACAATACCAGTGGAATAATAAACAACAACCACGCTTACGAGCAAAGTCATATTTTGTTCAACGTTCAACTTCCTCAGGCCAAACAAAAAAAATTGTGTGTTTACGGTAACCCGACCGACCTGGAATTTTTTCGGCCAAATTGCCGACCTCAAACTTTTTATTGCCATTTTGAAGGTTGATAATTGACAAATTTCAAACGTTTCAAGTACTTTTAATTATTTGCCACGAACAAAAACCATTTTCCACACTTGAATCTGACCATGATTTGACACAAACATACCTGTGTAGGCTGTGTAAAACGTGCGAAAATCGCGACGATCTCAAAACTTGGATTCTCAAACTACGAAGTACGATTATTTTTGCACAAACGCACAAGGTACGCCTGGCTTGCCGACGGACAGCATGGTTCTAGCCACTGATCTCTATATAAAGACTGGATAGCTAATACAGAGCCGCACAATGTACGAATTTGACGCCATATTGGTGAGACCGGCTGGTGATCTACAAAGGACAAGTTGTCGTTTTTATAGACAGCATGATTTCTTTTGTAACGTCGCGGTTCACTTGACTTATATTTTGACCACCATCACTGACCAAGGTTAACTACAATTTTTCTAACGTCGTGGTTACTAAAATGCCGCAAATATAACTTTTTCGGTGTTTTGAAATAATAATCACTACGGAAATGTGTCCCTTTTAGAACATCATAATATGTGTACGTGACCAAAATGCGCGTCAACTGTTGATACAACGCGCGCGTATTTACGCGTAGAACGTTCGTATTATACGCGGCCATCTTCGTGAGACCGGGGGCGAATTGGTCAATATGCAAAGTCTACTGTGTGAATGTTGTATGCATATCCGCTATCCAGTCTTTATATAGAGATCAGTGGTTCTAGCTCCCCACGTACAAACGTGCGTACTGCGTATCGGCCTGATACGCTGGAATTGCGGCCGGCCCGATACGCCGACAAAAAAATAGCGATCACATTTTTTAGCCCCTGATACGCACAATATAATTATTATACACGCCATTAAAATGCACAATTTGATCGTTACATACGCCATTATTTCATCTTGACATGCAAAATCTTGACCAAAATCCTGTTTTTCTGATGCATGTGTGATTAAAATGCACACGATGACATGTTCTGTCGACCACCAGCAGCACCCAGCTAACATACAGCATGGTACACTGGTTCCCTTCGCCAGCTAACGGAATCAATGCTATGATGAAGGACCGGAACCAGTGACTACTGCCTCTCTCCGGTCCATACTTCGTATCATGCATACAGCATGATGATGTAGTGGGCCGAAGTTGGATCGTAAAAATATTTCCAAATAAACATCGCTGGAGAAAGAGAATTTCTGCGAATTAATTCACGGAACGTGATCTTTACTTTCTGTGGATGTGTTTTCCATTAAAATGACGAGATTGCAAAGCTCGAACTTGTGGCGAAACATCGTAGCGTGTTTCTGCAGTAGTGCAAGATTTTCGGCCACGTGGGCCGTGAGTTCGGCGCGATGTTCAGCCAGCCAGGCGGAATGTTGGCGGTGCTAGCGGCCGTGATGTATGTTAAGCATGAAGTGGAATCATCGGCCTCCAATATATTTTTAATTAGGTGAGGCAAGTTTTAATCACTTTTGATAGCCAGTCTTGATAACTTGCGTGGCGCAAATGAAAATAATCCAGGCACAAAATAAACATGATTCCTTGCTCTTTAGTACGAATGATGCTCCATTAATCAGCACCCCAAGAAAATTGGCGAAATAATTTTCCGACCTACTGACGCTATTTTGAAAGGCATGTAATCGGAAGCAAAAGTTGTTTTTTTCTCCACCTTAATTTTTTAATTTGAAACTTACATGTAAATGTAATTCATACTTTTCTAGTTAGGAAGCAATGAAACACAGGTTGTGAAATGTTAATTTTTTTTAAGTTAACAATTTTGATTTTTTTTCTCTTAATTACAAAAATATTAGTGACCTACAAGATCTCCTCTGAATTTCAAGGACAAATCTTAAGATAAAGACCCCCAGATTTGCTCTAAAATGCACCAGAGAGCTTCTAAAGTTCAAACATTTTCGGGTTGTTGAATCACAGCAAATCTTCCCCACATGTTTGAAAAAATCCTGGGGAGAACCCTGGCCGATGATACAAATTAATTTGGATTGAAATGTATCGATTGAATATCTTCAATGCTTGAATAGTGGTTTTAGACAATTTTTTGCGAAAGAACACGCATGGGCATGCAGAACTGAAATGAAAAAAAAATTACAAAATAAAATTATTTCCCTACCTACCTACCTGGATTTTTTTCAGGCCGTTACCGTAAACACACCATTTTTTTTGTTTGGCCTCAATCGTAGATTATTCCATCATTAATTCGATAGGCCTACAGGTTTTTTTTATTGTGTCATTTTAAATAGTGATTGTGTGAACAAATAGGCCCACAACGATAATAGAACTAAATGTACGCCCTTATAATTCATAGAGACTTTGTGTTTTGGGTACATTTCAGTAATTCTCTTTCCATGCATGGAAACGAAGCAACTGTGATAGGCCTACACATCGATTCGGAGCTTTCGAAAATCACACGCAGCGGTCCCTCAAAAGAAAAGTATGTTAGACATTCTGTTGTACTTGACTTGTAAATGGAAAACCCATTCACTTTTGCATTTCTTTTAACGTTAAAACTTCAACCGATCACTTGGCTTCTGTAAAAGTTGGAAAAACAAAAGTTAAATTTCCGTTCTGTACGGTTTCACCCGCACATATCCTGTGCATGCATTTTCCAGCTATGTTCTTCAGGCCTCTGCGTCTGCTTACACCCTATAAACACGCAGGCCGGCATAGTGCTGGCAACAAGAACTATAGGTTAGAGGGTGAGCACGGTTTAAGAGGTCTTTGACATCCAAGGCTAAAGCCAAAGAAAAGTCTCTGGTTTCTGGTATGGAGCTTGCCAAAAAAAGTGGTGCGGCGACGCGGCTTTTCTTTTTAAACTTTTTTTTTTTTTTTTGCTTCAAATGTCGGCTGATGACTGCAAATGGTGCCCGACTAAGCTTAGTGCAAATATATGGGAGTCCAGAGAGGCCACATAAAGCTTATTCTCCATCATAACCCCATCTAAACAAAACACGTTAACATTGTGCAGCAGCAGGATTCCAGTCAAACCATTTTAATCATGCCCGTCAATCTTTTTTTCCAAAATGTTCCGCGGTAGCTCCAACAGCGCCCTCTATTGCCACACCTCCTAAATGTTTTTTTTACCAAAGAGCACCAAGGAATGGGAAATTGCACCTAGGCAAATGATCGAGAGCATCAAGGCAAATTATGGAGGACACCGATGTACATGAGGACACCAAAAAGGCAAAATAGTACCCCACCTTGTCTGTACAATCCAAGCTTGAAGAAGAAAAAAAAAAAAAAAAGCCGCGTCCCCGCGTCAATTCCGGAACTTTGGTCTGACCAGAGACCGAATATTTTTTGGGGGGCCTACCATGCTATTTTGTTTGCGAGCTCATTAGCAAAAGTGCCCCAGTCACGCCTTTTTTGTTGAAAAAATGAGACCGATTTGGCTTTACAAAAGGTGGGATTGTGTAAATATAACCGGGGATCAACTCCCTGGTTTTGGGGCTTTTAATTCCTCTGGGGGCAGACTGGACTTGATACAATTACGGATGAAAAATTGGTCCTATTTGCCTGAGAAAGTGGAGGGATGCCATTTGTAAAAATGGCTGCGCGCATGTATAGGCTTGCGCACTTGGGAACTGTCACTTGAGTCGGGACTTGAGTTTGTTTTGGTACGGTGTGGATATTTAAAAATGTAATTGGCTAACCCACCAAAATTATAAAGAAATGGAAAGATGAAGGACCAGACAATAATTTAATTGTTGTTTGAGAAACCCCAGTGATGTCGGCTTGCATGTAAATTTGGCCCTGAACTTTGTTGATTTTTACTCTGTTTTCAATGGGGCTTGAATTGGTTCCGAGCGCGCGCGCGCCGCGCGCGCCGCGCCCTCGAGCGGTCTACTTGTATAGCGCCCTCAAGAGTTACAAAGTAATTTTCCATGGTGACAGCAAACTATCCGTGATTCGTAACTTGTTCCGCAGCTTTTAAACCATGGAATTTGTCTTCTAATGACGATTTTTTTCAGAAGCAAATAATTTTGAATGGAAAAGGAATCCACCATGCCCGGAGTTGTACCAAAAATACCTCAGGTAAGACTCCAATACTTTTTGGTAGACTACAATGCCTGACGACTGAAGGAATGTCGGACACTTCGCCCCATTTCCACGTCGCCCCATGTCACTTCGCCCCTAACCACTTCGCCCCATCCCCACTTCGCCCCATTCCCACATCGCCCCATCCCCACTTCGCCCCAGTCCCACTTCGCCCCAGTCCGACTTCGCCCCATCCCCACTTCGCCCCATCCCCACTTCGCCCCAGCCGTTAGGGGCCTACATGCAAAAAAAAAAAATCTCATCTATTAGTATTACTCTATTTTTTTGGCTTAAAAAACAATTTCAACAGATTCACTAATTGCTAACCAATGAAAGAATTAGCCCATCACCAAATGAACAATTCATAACCAACCTCTCAAGCTAGGCTCTCCCCTACCGAGAAAATAGTCCGAGTAACTTGGACCCAACTTATCGCCTTTTTTAACATTTGGACATGGTCTGGCGATAGTCGCCAGACCATGTCCAAATGTTAAAAAAGGCGATAAGTTGGGTCCAAGTTACTCGGACTACCGAGAAAAAAGCTTTAAGTAAAAGATCCAACTTTATTCCCAATCCAGCTATACCAACCCGTCTCCCACTTATCTGAGAACGACAATACCTTTGACATCCTAATGCGGTAGATCCTGAATAGAGATCAGTGCACGTGGCCCCCAGACGATAAATGCATGGTACAGGAAACAGCCGTCGCATTTGCAACTCGCGCCCTCGCTCGACAAGCAATTTGCATAAACGCGACGTCACAGCTTGAGGTCATCTCTTGTCACATTCAAAATGGCTGCCATCACCGGACGTTTCACGAGTGCATATGGGCTCCAGAAAGATTCAAGAATATCTCGGAAAATTGAACATCATTACACCTAAGCATCCCAGAAGTGATAGATGGGACATCGTAGAATACAACCATATGTAAGAAATTCCCTGCAAATTTTATGAAAACTTCGTCCTCAGTAGCGCGCGGTACCACGGTGTGTGGCCAGAGGTTCAGCGCAGCATACCGACGGCCACACTAGTGGGGCTAGTAAAGCCGTAGGTCCCGTGTGTTGTATAATGTTTAATGCACGTTAAAGAACCCAGTAGTGAGTACACTTATCGCTAAGGCCAAAAAAAAGAATAGTTCTGCTTCCGGTTACCCGACCGACCCTATTTTTAGGCTGCGACCCTAAAAATTTTATCGGCAATTCCAAAAAAAAAAAAAAAAAAAATGATTGAATAAATAAAAATAAAAACCTTATGTCTTGTCTGTCTTCACAAAATACCCCTCAACAACCCTTTTGCATAAAAAAATGCTTGTATTTATTGTTTTCTTACTTACATTCGCTATTTTTTCAAAAGAAACCTCCGTTATTTTTACAAATTCGCTGCGCGATTCAACTACTTCGCAATTCGATGTCTGTAATCACGTGCGTAATAAGCGCAATGCGGCGACGACTGGTTCCCGCCGCGCCGCGCAGGGGCCAATTATGAAAATGCGGTAACTAGTCTGTGCACGGCTATGCGATCGTTAGCACAAGCATGGCTATGCAGGCGCAGGCACGTGCTCTGTCAACTGGTTGGACTCGACATCGTAAAAATGCTGAGAAAAACATCGTAAAAATGCCAAGAAAACACCGATGGAGAAAGAACATTTTTGCAAGTTAAATCACAGATTTGATCTAGCTTGTCTGTGTATGTATTTTCCGTGTTCAAGAGTTCATTTTGAGATCGCACTACTCGTATTTGGAGTGATACAATGCAGCGTGTTTCCTGAAATGTTCGACCCGTTGGCCGTGGGCCACACATGTACATGTACAGTGCATCACACACTTCGGAGTTTTGGCCAGCTCCCCTTCTTGACTAGCGTTGTGCCTATGGTGCGAACGACCTGAATTTCCCACAATTTTTTTTACGAATTATCGAACGTAAATATATTGACAATAATTAAGGTAGGTTTTATTCACTTTTTGTGGCCATTTTGTGTATAGCTTTTGTAGTGCAATGGAAATAGTTCAGGCTAAAACTTCGCATATAATTGAATACCCCATTCAATCTGCATAAAAAAAATTGGCAAAAAAAAAAAAAATTCCGACCGACCGACCCTATTTTTGAAAGGCATGTAATCGGAAGCAGAACTATTCTTTTTTTTGGCCTAAGAGAAGGGGGTCGCCCCGGTGTTTCTGGCAGTGCGATTATCTTCAGCCATGAAGTCTGCACTTGGAAGGAAGGAAGGAAGGAAGTGAAGCGCCACTGCGCGCACAGCTCAGCAAGCACTCTCAGTATCTTGAGTACTGTAGGCCCAGGCGAATTTGCTGCACGGCAAAAATACGTGTACAGTACAACTAGTGCAAAACATTGTTTCAGCCTCACTTCGCATTGCCAGAATGCAATCATGCATTAGGCCTACCATGGAGCAGTTAATTCCTTCCTCCATGAGTTGACTAAATGACACTCAAAATTGACATTCTGATACTTCTTGGCACATCTGAACAATTGGCAATGACAGTTCTTGAATATCAGCAGGTTTAATTTTGTGGAAAGAGGGCAGGGCTTTGATTTATGAGGGAAATTCATGGGTAAAAGACAACGATGACAACCAGAAAACAGACTCAAAAACCAAGATGGCAAACGTGAAAGCTCGATGCGATGAAAGCTCGATGCTGATTGGCTGATAAAAAATAAACATCTTATTTATTTTTAGTCTGGTTCCCAGACCAAAAGATTCAGGAATAGTCAGAATCTTTTGGTCTGGGAACCAGACTAATTAATTTTTTTAGCAGCCAATCAGCATCGGGCTTTCATTATGTAGGGCTTTCACGCGTGTGAGAACTACAACATGCACGTCTGACTGCAAAAAAAGGTAGGAAAGTCACATTTTCTTCGAAAGTGCTTTCAAAACTACAACTAACATGAGTTTATATGAAGAAAAAAGACTGCTTTAGCCTGCAAAAGTCACTTTGGCTTTTATTTTTGGGACTCGAGTCTTTTTAGCCTTCGCTCGAGTCAAGTCGAGTCTTCTGATGAGGGACTCGAGTCGAGTCGAGTCATTTGCTCGCAGTGACTCGAGTCAAGTCGAGTCATTTACCCTTAGGGACTCGAGTCGAGTCGAGTCACCAAAAATTGTGACTCGAGTCGGACTCGAGTCGAGTCATTGACTCGAGTCATTACAACTCTGATTAGACTGAGTCAAGGGTGTTTTTTATCGCTAAAAAAAAAGACCTTTTCAACCTTAAGCAAACTTTAAAAAGGGTGTCATTAATTCTAATGACACCTTTTTTGTAATTTTGAACAGTTTTTTGGATTTTCTTACATGGTTTACGGTTTGTGCCTTGCGATTTGGCGTGGTATTTCACGTTCACGGTACACAGGTGGTACCTCGCTGTGATCGCCATCTTTATTTGCGTTTTGTCGTCAAAGTAATTTTACCCCCAAATTTCCCCTAAAAATGCAAAAGCCTGCCCTTTAGACCATGACATACAGTGTACCTGCATGTTCTTAATGTCGCTAACTAGTTTAGGAACCGGGCCTGTAACTACACGATCGCCCCAATTCCATACCTGTAACACAGTGAGTGTCAGCAGTGTATTTTGGAAGTAACGTAATGCGCCTATCAAATGTCCCCCCCCCCCCCCCTCCGCCTTATCCATCGCATACTTGCATGCATAAAGGAAGTGTCGGCACAAGAACTGAACAAATCCGGGACTGGTTCACGGTAATTAACACTTTGTGTCTTTGTTTTCGCAGCCTAGGGACCACAAAGCTCAAGTTGCCATCTGGTAAGTGCAGTTGTGCAGATTTTTGGTGTGTGAATTGTATCCAAAATATTTACTGAGAAAAATCTTAAATCTTTAATTTGCACTTTATCGGTTAATCAGAATAAATATTTTAAAATTGTTCAGATAAAATATAAGCTTACACACAGATGAAGGTACTTCAGAGAGATGAAGTTTCCCTTTTGTTTTTTTTCACGGTAATATGCACCATCTTGTTCATGGGGAAAAGGAGCATGCGTTGCTAAAATGCAAGCGCATAATTATTGTTATAACACCTCACCCACAGATTCTGTGTCTTGATTGGCCGAGAGCGAGTCACATGTTACTTTCTATTTTTGCTATCTTTCTGTGCACGGCCAAAAGTACTATGCGCATAGCAACCAAAGTACTATACCATTAGCAACCAAAGCACTATTTCCACGGCGCAGTATTTGTGTGCAAATGCATGCTGGTGTGCGCGTTGCGCATTGCACGCAGCGCGTTTTGTTCCAAGGAGAGCGCGCCACAGAGTTGGGTTCAAACATTTCGCGAAGGGGTAGTTTGGATGAGAGAAATACATTTTCCACCAATTTTGTATTTAAATTGAAGTTTATTTCAACTGTGTTCAGATTTAAATAATTTAAAATATTAAAATCAAGCAGAATCTGTGAAGTGTTATAAAACAAATATTGAATGCTTTATCTCGTGGTGAAGTAAAACTAGCCTCCCTCGATGATCCATGGACCATTCTATTTTCCCTCGGCTTCGCCTCGGGAAAATAGAAAGGTCCATGGATCACCTCGGGAGGCTAGTTTTACTACACCACTCGAAGCATTCAATATTTGTATATTATGAACACATGATGATTTGGAAACGCGAAGGTTTTCGATTGACGGTGCGTACTCAGCAAGATGTGAAATTTTGCCCGGTAAGCAAGATGGCGCATATTACCATGAAAGTCCTTATCGATTAAACTTGATGATGTGAAATATGTCATCTGCTTGTTAGATGAGATTTGAAGGTTTGCATGATTAAAGGTAACAAGGTAGCAATAAGATAAGATAAAGGTTTATGGTGTGGCAAAGGTCTTCTGTGAGTTTGTGTGGTTCTGAAAAGAACCGGGGGAAACTCAACGTTTCGGACAGTGTGCTCTGCTTGTCGTCAGGAGATGCTTGTTAGTTCCATGTATCAAACTCGAGTCAAATTTCAATGATGTACATTGTGCTCTTGGCTATTAAATCGTGATTGTTGCAATCATGACATAACAGTGTACTTGTGGAGTCTTCCAGTGCATACATTTAAAAGATTGAATGCAGGAAAAAAATGTGGTTGATAATAATAGTTTGGTGCTAAAGTAACAAAGCTTAATTTGGTGTTTAATAACAAAGGTCTCAAAATGCTTCACAATTATTACCCCTGTTATCAGGATGTGAGACCAGTTTTTTTCTGCAACAGCTCGAGATCAGACCACTCTGGCCTCTACCCGTACCTCACATGTACCCATTTGTACTCCTGGGTGGAGTGAGGCAATTGTAGTAAAGTGTCTTGCCCAAGAACACAAGCACCATGTTCCCCGTGAGGGTTCAAACCCACATACCACGTCACTTCATGTATGCTGTGAACATGACCACCTATCATGCCTATTTCAGATGGTGCCCAGATATCTCCATGCAGAATTCCTTGTCTCTCTACTTGTTTGTTCATTCATCTGATCTTCACTTCATCCTTGTTTATACAGGGCTGATCTTGATGCTACTCAGTCTGAGGCAATCATTAATGCAGCTTCCTTGGAGGAAGTCCGCAGGTGAGTACACCTGCCAACTAATGGACCAATCCATTAAGCCCCGCCCCTGATGCTTTAACCAAGTACAGCCGTGATTCATGTCCGACAAAGTGCACTAAAGTCTGACATATACCTGCACACGCGTATGGGCTGTGATAACTGATATGCCCTGTGGCATTAAAGAGGCACATGTGCTGTTTCCATAATGTGTGTAATGGGCGGGGCTTAATTAATCAGTCTGTGGAAATCTTTAACCAGAAATGGACCCTTCCTGCCTGTCAATCAAACAGTGTGCATTGACCAATTAGATCACAAGTGTTGGTCAGGTGACCAGGGTGGCTCGGTCAAACCCTATCAGAAGCTCTGTGAAATATGTGCACAAACCATAGGTGGGCGGGGCTTTTGGGTGGGGCTTGTGGGCGGGGCTTGTGGGCGGGATTTGGGGGCGGGGCAGGGCTTACGGTCCATCCTCTCAGTTACTGAATGAAAATCATGTTTAGCTTGAGAAGGCTGGTCAGTGATGGTGAATACTTTCTCAAGAAAAAACACTAGGAAGACATTTCCTCATTAGTAGCACAGTGTGTTCCAAAACATAGATCCCAAATGTAAATAGACTTTTTCCACATGTCCATGTTGACTTTTTCTAAAAAGAGACCCAGTTTGCCTGTACACATATATTGAATGAGGTTAAATGTAGTCAATAAAGGTGTCTCAAACATTGATTCATATCACACTGATTTTGCACTCAGCATTATTGTTGTCTTGTCTTGTTGTAATACTGCCCAACACCCCTAAACAAAGGGGCCAACCGGGCAGGGTTCGGTGCGCTTGATAAAATTGCAGAGAGAGTGATGAGTTATTTGTTTTGCTGGCTTAGGTAGTTGTGTACTGCGTCTTTGAAGTTCTTCTTGTCTTGGATTGTAGTGATGGGTTCTGGTAAAGCGTTCCAATCGACGATCATGTGGGGGATGAAGGCAAAGTTATAACAGTTTTTTGTTGGTAGCGATGGGTATGAAGCAGTTGGAAGCTGGTTATATGTGTCTTAGATTCCTTTCAACCGGACGCAGGATGTACGTTTTGCACTGGTACTACGAGGCGCCCCGCGACCACTTGTTTGAAGTTTGTGAGACGGTCTGCTTTTCTTCTCTGTTGTAAATCTTCCCAGTTTTCAAATTTTATAGTTTTATGAAGAATGAACAAGACTGCCTCAAACTGCTTACTGACTGGATTGACCAGAAATATACAAATCATAAAAGTAAGAAGGCCCAGTGTTTTGCTCCCAGTAAGATCGAAATATCAGATCCTCTAACTTCTTGAATTGCTATTGTAACAATACGACATTAGATATTAAGTTATTGTCATAGAGTGGTGGGTAATGAATAAAACTTTGGCCATTTGTTTCTCTATGATATGATTTCCAGCCTTTTAGCAGACCAGTTTAAGCTGACTGATCTTGACGACAATTCTGCATCCTCCATCCTGCTGGATCTGTACTACTACACAGTGCAGTTTGCATTGAATAAAGGCTTCAATAAGGAACAGCTTAGTGCATTCTTCTCCATTGTCAAGAAGACACATGAAGTTTGTAGTGGTGAGTTCCGCTGTTTGTCAGAATCATTTTTAATAGGATTGGCAGTGACTAGAAATCCATTGAAAATTTATTTCTAAATTTGTCATCAGTTATGAATCAACAAATGGGTAGTTGTGTGAGGTGATTTTAAAAAGAAAACTGAATGCTGTGTTAGGAATTTTCTGGGGAAAAATAATATCAATTGTTCATTTCTGAGAACGCCTTTAATTGACTGTAGTGATTGATCAAATTTAAAACTTTTTTGACAAGTGTATAAGAACATGCACTGTCATTGATTCAGTTTTGGAAGCCCAGTCATGTATGTGCAGTCGACTCTCGTTAGTACGAGGTCCTTTTACATGTATATGAATATAGTTTAGTAACTGTTCATTGTTCTTGGTCTGTATTTGTTGTGTGTATTTCGTTTTAGAAACACCATTTGGGAACTTGGAGCAGACTTATAACTACTTCAAGGAACTCGTCTTATGTCATGCTGTCAAGGTGAGTGCATGTCGGAATTACAGGGCTAAGGTCAGCAGTTACATGTGTCTGTGGGAAGTAGATTCAGCTGAGTCCATACAGGCATGTGTAATCGTAGTCTATACCCTTGCAAAGCGGAGCAAGGGTCTATTTGTGAGCAGATTTGGCAATTAATTATGCAAAAAAGACTTCCTCTTGACCTTGACATTCTTACCATTCAGCAGGCGCCTTCTATATCGGGTCTCGTCATGGATATCTGTAAATATAACCTAGACACGACTTCTATTATTCTTTTTTACGCTGTGAATTGAGCTAAATAGTCTGTGGTCACACGCTCTGTAATGATACGTTACGCGATACGCCAAGCAATAATGGAGCTAGCTGGCCAATCATGGTCAACATTGAACTGAATTTGTTTCTGTACTTTGGAGGTCTTCGAAATCCCGGGTTTGCCAACAGCTTTGGCTCAGTCCCTTGTGTCAGAGTCAGTCCACAATGTCCCAACCACATGGAGATACTCTAAACTGTTTTACATAGTGGACCGAAATCTCTAAAAACCAAAGCGGAGACAGAGCTGTTTTAATCCCTCCGCTTTTTATTGACAGCGCCCACCATGGAGCATCAACCTGTTTAGCCCAGACCAAGTCCATCAGATCACAGAATACGTCCTCAACACCTACTTCAGACATTACAAACTCTACAAATATGTCTTCACTCCAATGGTCCGACTAGACTTGTCCATTTCCTATGCGGGGATGCCCGAGACTCCTGTACCCTCCGAGGGTGAGTTTTCTGTCAATAATTTCATAACAAAACAAAAAACGGTTCAATATGTTACTTATTTATATCCTCATTTTAAAATTGGGTAAAATATTCGTAAGTTGAAATTCTTACAATTCCTTTTCAGTTCTTTCCCGCCCCACAATGCATAGCATGCCACTAAGATGGCGCTATCCATGGTCGGCATTATGATGAAAGTTATAAACTTTTGCATTTCTTTTCTGCAGCTGGTGATGTGGAGGCTGATCAACCAGTGGAAGAACAGAAAGAGGAACAGCCAGCCGGGGAGGAAGAAAAGCTAATGGAAGAGCCTCCTGAAGGTAAAACTAGCAGTTCCCATTGCAAGGGGATGACAATAATTTTGGCAGAATGTCACTGTAAGAAGCTTGCTGACTAAATTGATGTTGCTTGCCCTAGTTAAAGAAAAAAAGGGTTTTTTTGCAGGAGCTTCTACATGTACTAGGTGGTCGGTCGGTCTGTCTGTCCCCGAAAATTGACCAAAAATATTTGACCAAAAATTGAGCAAATGCCATGCCATCGTCAGTAAATGCACTCTTATATTAAACAAAAGTTATCGGGAAAACGCGCTTTGTCTCGATCGATGCGCATTTTGTAGAATTTTTTGTCTGTCCCCAGAAAATTGACCAAAAGTATTCGACAAAAAAATTGAGCAAATGCCATGCCGTCGCCAGTAAATGCACTCTAAAAATAGTTTGTAACAATTTTTAAAGTTGTTTTTGAAAATTGTTTAAGTGGAGGCAAAATATGTGCAGTAATGTTATAGTCATGTTGTATTTTGTGCAGTGGTTGGACGGTATCCAGGAGAAAATAAAAAATTGACCCAAAGTATGGTGCTCCATATGTGTCATCGGCGTCGCATTTGCACTGGCACTTGTTTTTATTCCTTTCACAGAAGAAACAGCAGCACAGAAGGAACTGAGGAAGTTGATCACCACCCAACTGAATGAGGAAATATCGAGATTGCGATTATCGCTGGACGAACAGATACAACTGAATGATGAAGCTCTGCAGAAGAAACTAGCGAGCGTTGATGGGGGAGGCGGAGCTAAAAATGGGAGGGGGTCAAGTAAAGGAAAGAAAAAGTGAGGTCTGGAACCCGTCACTCATCAGCGATTAATGAATGAAAAAATAATCACCACTCTCACCAGTACAGGCTGTTTTGGTTGCAGACTGTTGATTCTTGTGCCAGCACACCCTGTGAGAGCTTGATCTAACTAGCATGTGTAAAAATCTATATTTTGTATATAACTCTCCCAACACTGTACAATTTGTGTACATAACCTTATTTCCCTTAGGACATGATTGTATGAAGTGGATTACATAACAATGTACTGTATAGAGTTGGAAGTTCATGTCAATTTTGTGCCTCTGCCATTTTAAAAGTAAATATGAATAAAATGATGTCAAGAATGTAATTGGTGAGCAAGTGAAAGCTAGAAAAGAATAAGTAATATTCAAAAGACGTACTTAAAAGTTAATTTTTTAAAACGAATTTCAACAAGAGCAATAGTTTGCATGAGGCTTCTCGCCCACTACGTGTCCAACATCAAAGCAATTTGTTGCGTTTCCCTGAGAAAAATCTCCTTTTCAGTTTTAGTACAGTCTTGAGGCAAATACAAAAATGTGACCAAGTTTGACATCCAATGACTAGTACCATATTTGTTTTTTATTAGTTTGGCATTTTCAAGCATTTACAAACTGCAGTAAAGTAATTGAGGTCGGTATTCCAACTGCACATGTGCACACCAAGATTTGCCCTTTTTCTTTCAGGATAAAAATGTCATCGTATGCGTGCAAAAGCATAGCAGGGTACACAGCGTTGTGTTCTGATGTATAACATTTTGCAAAATATCTTTGGACAGTGTTTGTAGGTGTTTTTAAGTTCCATCTCTTTTCGATTGTACGAAAAATTTCTCAGAATGCAGATTTGGATACCCCCATAGCCTTGTGTGCATTTATTGGCCGCGGTTATCCTGAAAAAAAATTGTTGAATCTTGCTGTGCACCAGACTATTTAGGAATACCAAACTGGCTTTAAATGTGTAAATAAACACTTGTAAATAGAACATCTTTAATAAATATTTACAGTTTGTACATGATCTTCCACAACCATTTAAAGACTAATTGTGTTCTTCCGTAGCTTTTGTGAGTAGGTGTAGCTGCACCCTCTATAGTTTAGGAACAAGATGTCTGCATCAGTAAGTAGCTGGTAATGGGTTCGATTCCTGCCGGAGGCAACAATACATTTTCTTTAAGAAATCAAAGTGAATTTGTAAACAGATTGCATGAAGCTGCTTTGCAAAACAAATACTTCTGAGCAAAAAATCATGCTAAGCTCTCTTTTAAGTGAACAATTGTTGACTGCTGTGATGTGGGATATGCTCTTAAAGATATAGTCCATCATTTGTAATTTGTGCATTTTGTTCGTTTGAAGCAACAAAAGTGTTCAAAATCTAATGAAGGATACTGAACAAGTAACCTGATGAAGTTTCAGCTCAGCTTCAGCTGTATATTCCGAGAAAAACAGCAAAGCTAGCGCACCGGCAGGCGCGCAGTGCACGTAAAGAACGCAGTGAGACATCACCCCCAGTGTGTGACAGGCATTTTTACTGTCCAGACACGTGGCCGTCGTAGGCTAATGAAATCACAGTATCTAAGCACACGATATAACGACCGAAATTACAAGTCAAACGCTGATAAGAAGAGCACGTTTATACACCATCCTGCTTAAAACAAGCGCAATTTTAGGTCCCAAGTCTTTGTTTTTCTTCGTTTTCCATTACTGATAATACAAGGTGCCTGTTATAACAAGGTAATTTGTAAAGTCCCAAGGACCTTGTTTATATAAAAGTGTTCAACTGTACATGACAAAGTAATGTGGCAGGCAACAGTAAGCTGAGAACCAGCCAAAGGCAATACACATTGCATGAACTATTGGCTGGTAACCTGTATCTTCTGAGCAAATCATTTCAATAATATGTAACCTTTGAAGGCTCTATCATAAGTGCTGTCATCATGAAAACTTGATTCCCTAGTGGCATGCACTTTTGTAAAATTTTACTGCAGTGTGAATATCATTCAAGTCTGAGAAAGTTACACGAATTGCTACAGTAGAAACCAGGTCAGTCATCTTTGATTCTCACTGGGTCTGAGTCGCTTGCAAGGGTTCAAGTGGTCGTCTTCATTTCCATCTTGAGGCTCGTCATGTCTGAATGACGTTGATGTTGATGCTTGCTCATTCTCCAATCTTGGAACACTCCTTAATCCGTCCATCTGCGGTCAATCAAAACAAATAAGGCCTCCATCAGAGCTAAGTATTTTAAACTGATTTCAAATTGCTCATTCTCTGCATGTATAGTAGTAATAGTTAGGTTGGTGTTGTGATGGTTTACTAATCTCTAATCTCTGATGACCTAAGTTATAGATTCCTAGTTGGATTCAACAAAGCCAAACAGCAGTCAAAAACAATCAAGTGACCCTTTTATTAAACTGGTGAGCTTTTGCCTACATAAAACAGGATTGACTGGCAGTGGCAGTGATGTTTATCTATCGATATAGCTATGCCTTGACTGTAGAGGATTGATAAGCCAGCTGTGCCCACCTGTTACTTGCTTTTGTCTGTTGATGGAATTTGACCGTCACAATGCTTACAAGAAATATGATCCGACTTTTGGTGATTAGCCTGTATAAAGGCATGGCAGGGGAACAGGATTTTTGTACTGTCTGAAACGTCAGACAGAAGGAGGGTTTTAAGGCGGACTTATTGCTAGGATAGTGAGTAAATCCTGTTTGCATTCATTGTTACTGTTATAGCAAGGAACACTCTCTGAGATACCCACACTGCTTGGACGTGAAGAGACGGTTATTACACTGATCAATCTACCAGAGATAAATCAGCAATGCACCCTCACCCCATTGAGTGATTTACTAGGAACCTTCCTCCGTCAAATTCCAACACCATATGGTAAACTGTACAAAAGTGTTGGACTCTGATTACGGTGGTATGCCTGACCCCATGTAAAGCATAATCAGTTTACTAGTGCAGTCCTCACTCCAACAGATTCCAACAAACCCTGGTGTTGGGTTTTGACTGGATGGGGATTGCTAGGGTTAATTAGTGGGAAAAAAGGATTGCAATATTTCTCCGGAGACTTGGTATTTGATGGAGACTTACTGTAATCTGATATGGCACAGTCATCTCTTGCTTGTTGGGGGACTTGTAAAGGTTGGCGTACCTAGGACCAAAGAAAGAATGCACCACAGATGGTGAGTCTGAAACATTACTTAAATTATAATTCAATTAATCAGATATTGATTTTCGATCAAGGAATGGCAAGCACAAACCCAAATGGTTATAATTTCAATTCTTTGTGTTCCATTTACTCCAACTTTTCAGTAAAACCCTGGGAATTACCTCTGAAATGCAGCACGGGTGAATAAGAAGATTTTCATGCCAAACGTGACTGTTATTGTCAGCGGAAAACAATTTTGAATTTTAGTGCGACTAGATTGTATACCTTTGATTGTCTTTCCAGAAGAGGATGATTCTAATGGTACATGCATGCCCCCAGCTTTCCCCTAATGCTGGGATGAGATGGGAAGGTCCGTTACCAATGTGAGTTGTCATCTGGTTGGTTAACACAACCTGTTCAGTAGACACATTTAAAACAAAATGCTATATCAATTTTTTTCCCCACAAGATGTTCCAACTTTGGTTGAAGAGTTTAATTAATATTGAGGCTTCATTCTCTTACAATTTCTGTTTTAGTTGAACAAAAAATATAGACTGAAGTTGGTTTCGAATAGAATCCTGCTTACCCACGTTGCGCCGGGATTATTTTTGCTGAAAATTTAGATTTTGGCAAAAGGCAAAATTTTCCAGCTAATTTTTGATATACAGCCAAACACCAAAAATATTGATTCGCAAGAGTGACTTCAACAGTATTTGTACGATATTTCTTGCCGAAAACTTGTATGTTTCAATACTCCGGGGTGTGTACTGGAGCATTAATTGTACAGCAATAGGCCATGCACAACGGCCAATTCAAGTTCAACACATGGTCGGCCTCCACAGACTTCACAGACTTTGTGTGTGTGTACAAAAGGCACGAGGGATTAGCGTATTTAGACGTCACCCGGAGGCGAGTCGAGGCAATCTTGACGTCTTATCCCGTCAGCCGTGCCTGTGTATAAAAACAGCCAGTGCGTGTATGATGTTATCACATCCTCAGACGCGAACTGGTTAAGTAAAAAAAAATTGTAATCTTTGCTTTCCCTGTTTTGAAAAAAGACATTTTCAACACAAAATCTATAAACGTTTTCAAAATAAATCCACCCCACTGTGAAATATTCAGAAAGGGGTTTTGAGACAGGAAATATAATGAGCACTCATAGCCAAGATTGAACTTGAACATTTTTTTTGTACAATACTCACAGCAAGTCTGTAATCTGAGGCAATTTTTATAAGACTCTGTGCCAAGCCGTTTAGGAGTCGCGTCCGCAAAGAAAAATCATCAAAATCGTGTCGAAAGTGGAACGCAATGCTGTCAATCACGATCAATTTCACCTGTGAAAAATTGAAATATCTGAGAGATTACCTTCTTGTCATGAATTGATATTCCTGCTTAATATTTTAAATGATGGGGATAATTAGCAAAAATCTCATACACGTTTCTTGTCCATATACCTTTTTATGCTTGTCAAGAATTTCTGGGAGTAGGTTGACCAATGCGAGGAGCTCAGTGTAGTCATGGCAACGGAAGCAATGAATACCAGACAACAGCTTCTCCATTGAGAACTCAGCTAAGGCTGTCTGTTGCTCTGTAAAAATAAGAAAGAAATTAAAAAAAAAAACAGCGTTCATTTGGATGCATCTATAAAGCAGTGGGTTAGATGTAGTAGAGAAAGTTTTAAGAACTGGGAAAGTTTCCCAAAAGACAATTAACAACCCGAGTGATTTTGCCAACTTTCACTCGGGAGGCAACACACTGAGTATACAGTGTTTAAACGCAGGTGAAGGGCAAAACCTAATTTGATTTATATCACCCCGACGCAAAATTCCATCTTATAATAGTTTATGCGGTACCCGCTGCTATGTACATCAGATTCGAACCGGCCAACCGATCCCGTTAGCTCGGTGGCCGAGTGGTAAGACATCTGCACTAGAAAGCAGGAGGTCGTGGGTTTGAGTCCCACCCGAGTGATTTTTTTCCAACTTTCACTCGGGAGGCAACACACTGAGTATACAGTGTTTAAACGTCGGTGAAGGGCAAAACCTAATTTGATTTATATCACCCCGGTGCAAAAATTCCATCTTATAATAGTTTATGCGGTAACCGCTGCTATGTACATCAGATTCGAACCAGCCAAGCGATCCCGTTAGCTCGGTGGTCCAGTGGTAAGACATCTGCACTAGAAAGCAGGAGGTCGTGGGTTTGAGTCCCACCCGAGTGATTTTTCCAACTTTCACTCGGGAGGTAACACACTGAGTATACAGTGTTTAAACGTCGGTGAAGGGCAAAACCTAATTTGATTAACAACTACTTCGATGAAACAAAACATGAAATGAATTACCTTCATCGTTTGTGTCGGCAATACGTCTGCAGTGTCCGACCATCGCGACTGCTATATCTGCTGCCCTCTGTGGTAGGAAACTCCCTTCGGTATCAATGTATATAGTTTCACCTTCCACTCCCCCAAAGCATTGTGGGATTTGGACATCAACAGCGAGTTGGATACTGGAGAAACAGAAGGGTTTGAGAAAGAAGGAGAGTGGTTAATACAATTGTCAATGAGGCATGCACACAAATACCGCGTCATGATCCTAACTGTTCAATAGTATTTCCCATTCCCCATGGGCGGATAGTACTTTTTGAGCCGTGGCGTGAATGGGAGCAATAACGAATGTCACATGATGTGAGTTCCACCAATCAAATGACAAGGATCTGCATGTCGGTTATATAATTTGAAATAAATGGCTGGCACTTGATACATGTATCTGCCAAAAAGCTTGGACTGTTTCCTGCACACAGGTTCCCAGCACTTTATGAAAACAAAATTCCCGAGTTTCTCTATTTCCCTGAGAAATTTCCAAAGTGTCGTGAGAAATATTTCCACTTTAACGAGGTTGCTGGGAAGTCAAGAGGCAGTGTGGCACAGCCAATTGTTATCGTCTGGAGAGGTGTGTAATATTCACACTGCGTTGACACTAAAAAGCCCCATAGCCAGTCAGTCAATGGACACAACTTGGACACATGGCACCAGATGCACATACGCCAAATGACAAAAACCTTTCCCTTTAGGTTCACTGTCCAATTCCCTGAGTTTTCCTTGATTTTGGGTGTTTTTCCCCAATTCCCAGAGTTTTCCCTGACTGTTACATGGAAACTCATTTAGGTTTCCTTGATTTCCGGAGTGGCTGAGAACCCTGCCTCTGGAGTCAGCAACTGGAGGGCATACCAGGTCTGTGTCTTGCCAACCCCAGGCGCTCCGCAAAGCTCCGTTATCTTGCAGAGAGGAACCCCGCCTCCCAGCATCTCATCCAGATCCTCACAGAATGTGACGATAGCAGGGGATGATTTCTCATAGCGGAGCATTTCCAAGGCTGTCACAGTCCTCTTGTTGCCTTCTGGATGTTGCTGCTGCCGCTGCGACGATGAGGATGCGCTGTTGCTAGGAGTCTTGGGTTGGCATGGCAACGATGAAGATGTTGACTCTCTGACCATCTTTAAAATCTCTAGGGATTCCTCTTTAGAGATGCCAATCTCTGATAAATAAATAGTCAATTGAAAACTTTATTAATTTAAAAATATGTCAGGAACAAAAATAAAATATTTTTAATTAATATGCCTATATATTATAGGCAGTGTATATTTTGCCGGAGACGGCAAACCTTTAGTAAACGTTAGTTTGCCGGATATGCACTGAACATGCGCAGTTACTGTTTTTTTGTACTTAAACATTTTCCGGTGACAAATTTTAGTCTGGTTCCATGCCAAAATTATCGTTGTAACCTCGTATTCACAAGATGGGATTCAGACCATTTTATAATTTCGGACTTTATTTCCCTTTTAAAAAAAATCCTCCAGAGCCACAAATCTGAAAAAGAAAATGTAATACTCTGCAAAAAATGTTTGAGACATGTTAAAATAATAAAAGAAGAATATTCTTATTTATTTGGGGATTAGAAAAAAAAACTTTAAAATGTGGTGCGGTCGGAATCGAATCCGAGTCATCCCGCTCACTAAAGCCTTTGCTTAACCACTACACCAAACGTACTACACAACTTTTGGTGGGAATTTAATACATCTTATAATTCAGCCCTATCTTAAAGAGTACAGCGCCCTCTGTTGATATGGATTGCCGCCGGCAAACCTTTAGTAAACGTTAGTTTGCCGTCATTACCTCCGGCAAAATATCCAAATTAGGCCCCAGTTGAAGTTACGATTGGGGTCTGCTTTGGGATATTCTTATTCATACTTTCCCCGTATGCATAGGTTAAATGACTGCCATAAAATACTGAATACAAATAATGCATGGAACTGCAAGGGAAGAATCGATATCTTAACTGGTCAATGAAAATAACTACAGTGATTTCTCCTGTTACGCTAAAATCTACCTCTACTGAGTTCTGTAGGCTTCATTTCAATGACATCTTCCACAACACTGAAGCCACTATCCTTCAATTTGACTCTGATCACAGGCGGTAATGGAAAACTTCCTAAATCTCGCTGCATTTTTGTTTTGGATTGAGCGTAAATTCGGAAGTGTTTTGAAGTTCGTGGTAAAACTTGATGACCTTTGACATAATGAATAAACATGAATCGACATTAGACTAGCGATGCGTACAGCAGCATGGAGGAATACCAGCGTACAGGAACTAGCCCGATTACACTGGTTCCTCGGTAGTTTTACAACGACGATGAATGGAACCGGGTGCCAGGGAAAGTCAGGTGTCTAGACATGAGCGGCAAATTCAAATAATGTATCACGTCTTTTTCACGGACACGGCCCGACCGATCACATCACGGCCGATGTCGCATCAGAAAAACAGCTAAAACTGGAAGATTGAACACAATTTAGGTAAATCAAAGTAGTAATAACGTATATTTATTGCAACATGCTTTTATATTTTTTGATGCATGGTTATTTTAGACTAAATTCTTTGGTTTTCAATGTGATAATTGTGACTTTTTGTTCACACTCACACAGTGCAAATTGTTTACGACAGTCGACCGTCTGGTTCCCTGACCTGACCTGACTTGACAATATTCAAGGTCAGGATCTTTGGCTCTTGGAACCAGACTATTCTGGGACTTTACTTCCCTTTTTTTTGGGCAGTGTATATTTTGCCGGAGACGGCAAACCTTTAGTAAACGTTAGTTTGCCGGATATGCACTGAACATGCCCAGTTACTGTTTTTTTGTACTTAAACATTTTCAGGTGACAAATTTTAGTCTGGCTCTAGCTGGAGTTACCCAGCCCACATACAAACTTATCGCGGAAATTCACCTATGCAAATTGGGGTCAACACGCCCCTCATTATGACGTCAACGTTGAGTTCGTGCTTGCGCTCATGCCATCAATTTCAGCCCGACTCGCTTCAGTTTTATGAATGAAATCATTATGCATCGGAGAGTGCACATGCCAGAAATTTACAGTAGAAAAGCTCATGATATCTGCTTTCTTTTGCCGAAGAAAGCATCAAAATCGATGACCTATTGCTTGAGTTTTGACAGTTGAAACATTTTTTAGCGGTTTTTTTTTTAGGAACCAAAACTTCTTATTTTTCGAGGGAGTCCATCTTTTTAATCCTAAATTTCTCTCTTCTCGAATTTGGTTCGGGAAAACCGGAATTAGTTCCATATAGAACAGGTTTTCAGCTTTGATATGGTGTGGCACATGTGGGTGGCCGGTCTGATACGGCGATGGCCGCGAGCAATATGCATAAAAATTGCTCGCTAAAACTGCCCAAAATTGCGAATGATAGTGAAGTAATCACGTGATATAAACACGTGCAACGTGCAGGAGATATATATAGCTCAGTGAAAGGCGGTTACGAAGATTAAAGGGATCCCGTTTGATTAAAGGGATCCCGTTTGATGAAATGTGTGTGTGTCTCTTTTTTTCTGTCCCTTTTACCCTGTATCCCGATGCAACGGAGTTGGGCGGTGGGTTGGGGTGGGGATGGCCCGCGGGTGGGGTGGGGGAGGCCTGCAGGTGGGGTGGGGGAGGGGGAGGGGATGGGGGGGGGGGGCGGGGGAACAAAGACACAGTGGGTGGAATATGCACATTCTTTGGTTGAATGGCCATTGCACATATCCCAACACCTTGAGGGGCGGGGTGGGGTCCCCTGGGTGGGGGGAAAGGAACGGGAGGGGGGTACTGAGAACCAGGATAATGGAATAATTCCTGTCTTTCATTTCTTACACCTGCACCATATCAGGACCCCATGGAAGGGGAGTGCACATAAGGGGTTCCCGGTGGAGGGGGGGGGGGGCGTGGGGGAGGATGCCTCGTGAGTGTAGAGGGGGGCCGGGGTTAGAGTACTCAAAACCAGGAAGCTTAAAATCCGGGGGGGGGGGGGGGGCTCAAAAGGAGGAGGGTGGAATTTCATATTTCCTTTTCTTTTTTCGGTCCTTGCAACATATCCCGACCCTAGTGGGCGATGGGTGGTGGGGGCCCCCACCAACACAGAAATCTTGATATGCAAATTAGGTAAACAGCGCCGCTCATTATAGCATCATCATGAAATTCTTGCTTACGCGCATGCCATCTACTTCGGCCAATTTTCGGCCAGACTCCTTCAGTTTTATGAATAATATCACTGTAGGCCTACATCGGAGGATGCACCTGCCAGAAATTTACATGCTGAAAGCAACAGAATCATGTCCGCTTCCTTTTGCCGAAGACAGAGTCAAAATTGTTAAATGAAAGGGTGAGTTTTGACGATTAAAATATTGTTTTAGCGTTTTCCTTTTTGTAACTCAAACTTCGTATTGTCCAAGGGAGTCCATCTTTCAATCCTGTTTTTCTTCCTTCCAACATTTTGTTTGAGATCAAATGAATTAATTCCGAGTAGTTGAGTTTTTTAGCTGGCGAATGGTGTGGCCTAAGTGGGTGGTCGGTTTAATAGTGCGATGGTCGCGAGCAAAATGCATGGAAATTCATCACTGGAACTGCCAAAAATTGCGAATGATTTTCAAATGATCACGCCGGTTATATCCGGCCCGCCGGCACCGCGCGCGTTCTAATAAAAACCCAAGATTAATAAAATAATCGGTTACACCTCTATGTTCCGACACCCCTATGTTCCGACTGCACATATTCCTATTCCTAGCCCTAACCCTAACCGGGAGTAACACAATCTAGGTTGTCGGAACATAGGGGTGTCGGAACATAGAGCAGTCACCAAATAATCAAGATGTTTTGTTTTCTGATAAATGATGTGACTTTATTATTGGGAATACCACTGTCTTTTTTTCCTTTTTCCTGCCCTGGATACCATATTCCGACCCTGGGGATGGGGCGGTGGGGGGGGGGGGGGGGCGGAGCGTGGTGTTCAAACCACGCCAAGAGGGCTGAAATTGTTTTTTCCAACAAGTGAAGTTTGTCTTTTAATTTGGTGCAATGACGTTCCAGACCAGACTTTCTTTTACTGCGATATCATGGACCGGGCCGGGGTTGAGGCGGGACCGTATCATAAGTCCGACGCCTCATAGGTCCGACGCCTCATAAGTCCGAAATTTCGGACTTATGAGGCGTCGGACTTTATTTATTCCGCCTCATAGATCCGACGCCTCATAAGTCCAACTCCTCAAAAGTCCGACAACGGAAAAACGAGTGTCGGACTTACGAGGTGTCGGACTTACGAGGCGTCGGAGCTATGAGGCGTCGACCTATGAGGCGTCAGATTTATTAGGCGTCGGACCTATGAGGCGTCGGACTTATGGGCCTTTATTTGGTTAGGGGATGTGATTTTGTCGGATTTATGAGGCGTCGGACATATGAGCGGACCCCGTTGAGGCCGGGTAGGGGTTGTGGGGGCGGGGGGGGGGGGGGGTTCCCAAAACAAAGAGGGTGGAATGTCCTTTATGTTCTTTTAGTTATTAATCTTAAGACGTGCTGCTCTTGGGGGGGAGAGAGGTGGTGGGGCCGCATGAGTCGGGGGTGGGGGTGGGGGGGGGGGGGTTAAGGTACTCCAAACCAGGAGGGTTGAATATCCCGGGGAGCATCAGAAGGGGAGGGCCTGGAATTTCCCAATCTTCTTTTGTTTTCATCATCATCATCATCATCATCATCATCATCAGACGTCGTAGGCTACTGCCCGTTGACGCAACAACCGTCCACTTCTTCTGGGTTGTGTGACTGGTGAAGGGGTGATTTCCTTCGCTGAAGGGTCGCCGCAGTTAGTTTATCCACGCTGAGACCGCTCCATCTGGTGAGGCCGTCGATCCAGCGGAGTTTGGTCATTGCATTATATCCCGACCCTTGGAGACAGAGGGTGGGGGCCCCGACAAACTATTCACAGAAACCTTCGTATGCAACTAGGCGAACAGCTCCGCTCATGATGACGTCATTGTCAAGTTCTTGTTTCATTACGCGCATGACATCGTCTTCGGCCAATCTCACTGGGAGTCCATCTCTTCAATCCTATTTTTCTTCTTTCCAACATTTGGGGTTTTCAGCTGTCGAATGGTGTGCCACATGTGGGTGGTCGATTTGATAGTGCGATGGTCGCGAGCAATATGCATTGGCATTTTTCGATGGAACAGCCAAAAACTGCAAATGATTTTCAATAATTGATCACGCCATCACCGCTTGCGTTCTAATAAAAAAACAAAATTAATCTAAAAAGCAAGATGTTTTGTTTTCTGATGAATGATGCACCTTCATTACATTATTGGGAGTAGGCCTACCCCTTTCATTTCATTTCCCCTGTCCTGGATATCATATTCAGACCCCCGGGTGTGGCGGGGGCGGGGTGTGCGGTTCAAGCCATGCCAAGAAAGCTGAAATTATTTTCTTTTCCAACAGTGATTTTTGTCTTTTTACGGTGGTGGTGCAATTACGTTCCTGGCCAGACTTTCTTTTTTACTGCGAGACTGGGTTGGGGTGGGGGTTGAGGCCGGGTAGGGGTTGTTGGGGGTCGGGGGATTTTCTTCCAGTGATTCTAAGTTCCAAATCTGCATGCCCAGTGGGTGGGTATGGGAGCGGGCAGGGCTGGTGGATTTACCAAACAAAGGATTGCATATTCTTCAAGTGATTTTATTCAGACTTGCTTGCCCGTGGGTGGAGGGGGGGGGGGACGGGTTGGATTTCCCAAAACAAAGAGGATGGAATATCATTCCTGGGAGAGAGAGGGGGAGAGAGAGGTGGAGGGGTTAGAGTACTCCAAACCAGGAGGGTTGAATATCCCCGGGAGAGCCGCAGATTGGGAGGGCCTGGAATTTCTCAATCTTCTTTTGATTGGGTCCTTGCATTATAATCCCGATCCTTGGGGCAGAGGGTGGGGGCCACGACAAACTATTCACAGAAACCTTCGTATGCAAATTAGGTGAACAGCGCCGAATTTTATGACGCAATCGTCAAATTCTTGCTTTGAAATACGCGCATGACATCGTCGTCGATCAATTTCGGCCACTCTCGCTAGGAGTAGGAGTCCATCTCTTCAATCCCGTTTGTCTTCTTTCCAGTATTTGGTTCAAATTCAAATGAATTTATTTCGAATAGTTGAGGATTTTAGCTGTCGAATGGTGTGCCACATGTGGGTGGTCGGTTTGATTGTGCGATGGTCGCGAGCAATATGCATGGACATTTTTCGAAGGAAATGCCAAAAATTGCGAATGATCAGTTAGTCTGTATACAGTATACACGTACGTACGTGCAGCAGAGCAGGGGATCTACCCGATGTTCCCCAATACCGATGTTCCCCCAAATCCATAGGATTAGGGTTAGGGTTAGGGTTAGGGTTATATTGGTAAGGATTTCGAGGAACATCGGTATTAGGGAACATCGGAATTGGGGAACATAAACATGCACCCGTGCAGGAGAAGAAGCGTTACAGAGCAAGGATTCCGTTT